CGAAAGAACGCAGCCATCAAACGCAGCATTCATTGATACATAAGCTCTACTTTAAACAATCATGGTCATCATCACATCATCCACTTCAAACGCTTCCGTGAGCACGCAGTGAACGTAGATACCAGAGTCTCATTTGAAACTGCATTCGTTGATACCGAGTGCTTGTTTAAACTCACATCCGTCGATTGCAGACTTTGATGCAAAAGTCTACAATGAGAGTCCGAGTTGAATATTAATGAAATCGCCATCTGGATCTAAATGATGGTGCACACATATATGATTTTACACATCGCTGTTCGGTTGCTTTGCTGGGATAGTTATATGTATATATACATACCTATATATATATATACACATTTGCATATATATATATATATATATGTTTATGTATGTATATATATATATGTATGTGTATATGTGTATACACGTCCATGTAATAATATCGAAGACGCCTACGGCGAATCACCGCCGCCCCCTGCCTTTGTGGAAGCGCCTATGTGGCCGAACGTTGAGGCCAGACCTGCCAAGCCATCGGACCATGTGTTCCCCGAATCGGTTTGGAAAGCCTTCGGGGAACACGTGGGCGTCTTGATGGTCATCGTCGCCGTCTTGGAGGCCTCTTGGGCGATCTTTCGGCGATCTTTGGGGGCTCTTGGGCCGTCTCGGGCCGTCGGAAGGCCGAAAAAAGGGAAATGCCCAAATCCATCAAAAACCTTGGGAAAATCAGTGATTGTGGCATCTTTTGGCCTTCCTGGAGGCCCTCTTGGGGGCCTCTTGGGCCCTTTTGGGCCAGCTTCGAGCCAACTTCGGCCATCTTGGTGGGTTCCTGGCACGTCTGACGCCGTCGGGAGCCGTTTTGGGGGCCTTTCTGGGCCAACGGGGGACCCTCTTGGGGCGCTCCAGGGCCGTCTTGGAGGCCATCTTGGGCGTCTTGGAGGCCATCTTGGGCGTGTTGGAGGCCTCTTGGGCCCTCTTGGGGCCCTCTAGGGGCCATCTTGGAGGCCACTTGGGCCATCAGGGGGCTCTCTTGGGGGCCTCTTGGGCGATCTTGGGGGCTTCTTGGGCCGTCTTGAGCCGTCGGAGAGCCGAAAAGGCGCAAATGCCAAAATCCTTCAAAAACCAAGGAAAATCAATGATTTTGGCCTCTTCGGACTCTCCTGGAGGACCTCTTGGAGGCCTCTTGGGCCGTCTGGGAGGCCTCTGGGGGGCCTCTTGGGCCGTCTTGGGCCGTCTTGGACTCTCTTGGGCCGTTTTGGAGGCCGTCTTGGACCATCTCGGGCGGACTTGGAGGCCATCTTGGGCCATCTTCGCGATTTGTTGAGGATGTCCCGAGCGAAACGGCCGTTTTTTGGAGGATTTGTTGCGGTCGTTGAGCACGTTTGGGGAAATTCCGGGTGGCCGGCGGGTTCTGCCGGAGCCCACTGGGAAGTTCTTTTGGAAAAAGAACCAAAACCAAAACCTGAAACGTCCAGCACGCCGTGCACCCCTGCAAGCAGGGGGCGGCGGATCGAAGACGCCTACGGCGAATCACCGCCGCCCCCTGCCTTTTTGGAAACGCCGATGTGGCCGAAAGTTGGACTAGAGCTTGGCCAAGCTATCGGACCATGAGTTCCCCGAGTCGGTTTGGAAAGCTTTCGGGGAACACATGGGAGAGAATGATTATGAACAGGAAGAGGAAGAGGAAGAAATAGAGTAGGAGGATGAGGGTTGTTAGGAGTCTCTTGGGGCACCCTTGGGGTCTGTTGGGGGCTTCTTGGGGGCCTCTTCGAGGCCTCTTGGAGGCATCTTGGGGGCCTCCTTGGGCCTCTTGGGGGCCTTTGGGGGCTTCCTGGGGGTCTCTTTGGCCGTCTTAGGGCGTTCCTGGTCCGTCTGACGCCGTCTGGAGCCGTCTTGGGGGCCTCTCTGGGCCGTCTTGGGGCCCTCTTGGGGCGCTTCAGGGCCGTCTTGGAGGCCATGTTGGGCGTCTTGGAGGCCTCTTGGGCGCGTCTTGGGGCGCTCTTGGGGCCGTCTTGGGGGGCCCTTGGGCCGTCATAGGGCCTTCTTGGAGGCCTCTTGGGCGATCTTGGGGGCCTCTTGGGCCGTCGGAAGGCCGAAAAGAAGAAAACGCAAAAAACCTTCAAAAACCTAAGGAAAACCAATGATTTTGGCCTCTTCGGGCTCTCCTGGAGAACGTCTTGGAGGCCTCTTGGGCCATCTTGGAGGCATCTTGGGGCCATCTTGGCCGTCTTGGAGGGCATCTTGGGCCGTCTTGGAGGCATCTTGGAGCCATCTTACCCGTCTTGGAGGCCATCTTGGCCGTCTGGGAGGCATCTTGGAGGCCATCTTGGGCCATCTTGGCCGTCTTGGAGGCCATCTTGGAGCCGTCTGGGGCAGGAAATTGGGGAATTGAGGTCCTGGAAGGGTGGCCGGCGGGACGGGCCGAAGCCCACTGGGGAGTTCTTTTAGAAAAAAAACCAAAACCAAAACCTGAAACATCCAGCACGCCGTGCACCCCTGCAAGCAGGGGGCGGCGGATTTAATGGCCTTCGGCCCATCCCGCCACCGTGGCTGAGTTGTGAGTCAGAGGCCTCTAGAGTGTTCGTTGGAATCTCGTGGTGGGTCTCTCGGATGCCTCAAGCGGTACCGACCAAGTTCCACATGAGGCATGCCATCTGCATGCCTCAAGTGGTACCGACCACACTTTCGAAGCCTCTTGGGGGCAGTTTTGGGGCCTGCTTTGGGCATCTTGGGGGCCTCTTTTGGGCCTCTTGGGGCCTGCTTGGGGCCTCTTGGGGGCCTCTTGGGGCCTCTTGGGGGCCTCTTGGGGGCCTCTTGGGGCCTCTTTGGGCCTCCTGGGGGCGTCTGGGGGCCGAGGGCTCGAAATGAGAGTTTTTGTTCCCCCTCTTGGCCCCCTCTTGGGCCCGTATTGGGGCCCTCTCGGGCCGTCTTGGGCTTCTCTTGGGCCGTCTTGGGGCCCTCTTGGGCCGTCTTGGGGCCATCTTGGGGGCCTCGTGGGCCGCCTTGGGGCCGTCTTGGGGGCCTCTTGGGCTGTTTTGGAGCGTCGGGAAGCCGAAAACGCGAAAACCCCACCCCAGGGCCGCCTCGGGGCGCGCTGGGGCGCATTCTTGGGGTTTTCCGCAGCTGTCCACCCTCAACCTCGGTCTAGGCATCGCAGCCCCATGGGATCCCAGGATGCTTCCGCAGGCTCCAGGACGCCCTAAGACGCCCCAGGACGCTCCAGGAGGTCTCAGGGGGGCCCCAGAAGGGCCCCAGGAGGCCCCAGGAGGCCGCCCCGCGAGGCCCCTGAAGGCTTCAGGAGGCTCCAAGATGGTATCCCCTCATGGTCGCTCCCACGGGAGGGGAGGAGGGGGAGGAGGGGGAGGAGGAGGAGAGGGGAAGAGGAACGCGGGGACCGTCTCTTCAAAACGAGGGCCCAACACCACAGGATGGTTGGGAAGTATGCCTTACTGGCACCCTCCGGGACATGTTCTTTACGATGGAACGGTCAGTGGACACGGCACTGCGTGGCAAACTATGGCGCTTATGATGCGGCTCCCCTGCGGGGCGGAAGGGCGAGAGGGGAGCGGGAAATTCCGAACCATCTCTGCCGAAGTTCCGCCACGAAGTCTGGATTACGTTTCGGGTGTCACCGAACTGCCGCATACATCGCACAATCTCCAGCCCCAGAACTGGCTGCCCCTTGGATGCGAGAGCGAGGTCCACACCTCACGCGCAAGACCGCACCGCAACAGAGAAGTGCCAGCAGTGAGCCGCAGGCTGACCAGAGCGCTGGAGCCCAGCAGAGGTGACGCGGCGGCACCTCGCGCGCACCTCTCACTCGGCAGACACGCGCCCTGCAACACCGAGGTGGCGTGGCGGACAACAGCGTGACCGCGCGGGCCAGGCGTGAAGCCAGCGGGGATGGGGGAGATCGGCGGCTGGGGCGGCGTGAGGGCAGGGAGGGCGGCTGGACGGCGAGCGAAGGGGAACTGGAGCAGGCCCAGCACACACATACAGACACTTTCGGTCGTCGCGGGCTGGGCCTAACCGCCAGCCGCTCGAGTCGGTCCCGTGGGCGCGCGCGCGCAGGCTTGGCACTGAGGTAGTCCGCCGGGCCCCGCACACACACACACACACACACACACACACACACACACACACACTGACACACACACACACTGACACACACGACACACACACACACACACCCACACACAACACACACACACACACACACACACACACACACACACCACACAACACACACCACACACACACACACACACACACACGCACACACGCACTCTACTCTCCGCCGAGGAGGAGGAGGAGGAGGAGGAGGAGGAGGAGGAGGAGGAGGAGGAAAAGGAGGGAGGGAGGAGGAGGAGGAGGAGGAGGAGGAGGAGGAGGAGGAGAGGAGGAGGAGGAGGAGGAGGAGGAGGAGGCGGAGAGGAGGAGGAGGTAGGAGGAGGAGGAGGAGGAGGAGGGAGGAGGAGGAGGAGGAGGAGGAGGGAGGAGGGAGGAGGGAGGAGGGAGGAGGGAGGAGGGAGGAGGAGGAGGAGGAGGAGGAAGGAGCCAGAAAGCCTGGGCGTCAGAGTTTTGGGGACCCAACTTCGCGCTCTCCGCGCCCCGCGCGTGCGCGGCTGGCGCGGGCCGTCCTGGCGCCCCTCGCGGGTGGGCCAGGGCCTCCCTTCTCCTCCACGCTGCCAGAGGGTCGAGCACCTGGGGAGGGCGTCGGGCGCGGAGCGTGATGGGCGCCGTGAAGATGAGGACGCCCAGGGGCCGAACACACCGGGCACCCAGACTCAATCCTGGACCCCCAGGGCGGCTCGGAGGAGCAGGTCCGAAGGAAGGGGGGCGTGGAGGGGGAGGAGAGGGCAGGAGAGAGGGGGGGGGGATGGGGAGAATGCCCTCGCCAAGCAGACCTGGAACGGCACGAGCCGTGTCTTTAGAACCAAGAGAAGAGTACTCTGCAGCTCGCATTGCTGCCCAGCCCTCTTGCCATGCCCACGCCACCCAGCCTGCAACAACCTTCGATTCGTTGCCGTCGAGGTCTCCTTCGTCGTACTTGATTGTGTAGCCGATCGTCGTTTGAGACGCTGTGGTCAGCCCATGTACTGAGGCAGGAAACCATTTCCCTTTCAGTCCATGCCCAGAAAAAACGCTGACGGGCTGCGCCTCGGAAGGGATCGTTCGCAGAAGCGCCATGGGGACATCACGCCGCTCTTGGACCCCCCTGCCGATCGTGCACACAAACTTGGCCTCGAAACGTCGGTCTATATCCAGAGGTGACTTGTTGAAGTAGTTGTTTCCCGTCACCCTCGCCGACACCCACTTGTTGTGCGATTTGGAGAAGTACTCGACGTTCTCTCCGAAGTTGTACGCGTGCGCGAACTCCTTCCCATCCTCCTCTCCCCCATGTCCTTCTCTTGTGAGGCGCCGATGTATCAATATCCACCGCTCGCGAAGCGGATGTTGTCGGAGCCCAGGGATGGAGGATACGGATGTGTGTGGGCCCTCTGGGTTCCAAACATATCCATCTCCACCGCCTTCCGAGGTTCAGGAAGATTGGGTTCCGAGGCGGTCGCGGATGTAGGCAAATCCCCGCCTCGCACTCCTCCACCTCCTCCCACACCACCCGCATGCTTTCCCCCAAGACCTCCCCACTCTCCCCCCGTCCTCATCGCCTCCTCCTCCTCCTCCTCCTCGCCTCCTCCTCACCCTCCCCGTCGCCCCCTCGTCGCCTCCCCGCCCCCTCCCCTCCCCACGTTCCCCGAAGACCTCACGACCCTCCCCCTCCTCGTCGTCTCCTTGCACCCCACTCTCCCCCATCCTCGTCGCCTCCTCCTCCCCCTCGTTTCCTCCTCACCCTCCCCGTCGCCCCCTCGTCGCCTCCTCGCCCCCTCCCCTCCCCCACGTTCCCCAGAGACCTCACGACCCTCCCCCTCCTCGTCGCCTCCACTCGGCGGTGGACAGACCTCCCTTTAGTAAACCTCCCCTTACTGAAAACGGCCTGGGACCGAAACCGACGGACCTGGACCCGCGACAATAACGGCCGTGACGCCCTCTCGCGAACCGAAAACGGCCAATTCACTAATCGACGTGTCAGGGTAGGAGGCCTATCCGCACCCGATCCACCCTCCACGCCCACCTCCGCCCTCCATGCCCTCCGAGAGGCCCCCGCAGGCACCGCGCAGGGCCCCCCCCCCCCCCCCCCCCCAGGCCCCCCCCCACGGAGGGCTCCGCGAAGGCGCCCGTGGAGGCCCCCGGGAGACCCTGCGCGCTTTTTCTCGGAGGCCGAGGAGAAGCAGCCCATCCGAAGGCCTCGAGAACTCCTCCCTCCTCCTCCTCCTCCTCCTCCTCCTCCTCCTCCTCTCAGTCATCATCATCCATCATCATCATCATCATCATCATAATCATCAGCATCATCATCATCATCATCATCATCATCATCATCATCATCATCATCATCATCATCATCATCATCAGCAGCAGCAGCAGCATCATCATCATCAGTATCAGTATCATCCTCTTCTCCTTCTCCACTTCTGTCTCGTCTGCCTCCTCTTATGTATGTACCTTCTTCCTCCTCCTCCTCCTCATCCTCCTCCTCCTCCTGATCCTCCTGCTCCCCTCTCCTGGATCCTCTCCCTCCTCCTCCTCCTCATCATCCTCCTCCTCATCCTCCTCCTCCTCCTCCGACAACGCATCCTGCATAGGGCCGCGTGCGCAGAGCTCCGTGAAGGTGTGAGTGCGTGTGTGTGCGCGTGATGCGCGTGCTCGTGCGTGTGCGTGTGCGCGTGCGCGTGTGCGTATGCGTGGGTGCGCGTGCGAGTGCGAGTGCGCGTGCGAGTGCGAGTGCGAGTGTGAGTGGATGCGGGTGCGGGTGGGATGTGTGCTTGTATCTGTGTGTGCGTGCGTGCGCGTGCGATTGCGAGTGCGAGTGCGAGTGCGAGTGCGATGCGTATGTACGTGTGTGTGTGCTTGTGTGTGCTTGTGTGTGTTTGTGCGTGGAGTGTGGTGTGTGGTGTGTGGTGTGTGGTGTGTTGATGTTTTGTGTTGTGTGGTGTGTGCTATGTGTGCTGTGTGTGTTGTGTGTTGTGTGTTGTGTGTTGTGTGTTGTGCGTTGTGTGCTGTATTGTGTTGTGTGTGGTGCGTTGCGTTGCGTTGCGTTGTGTTGTGTTGTGTTGTGGTGTGGTGTGTTGTGGTGTGTTGTGTTGTGTTGTGTTGTGTTGTGTTGTGTTGTGTTGTGTTGTGTTGTGTTGTGTTGCGTCGTGTTGTGTTTTGTGTCGTGTGTGTGTGAGTGAGTATAGCAGCACACGTGCGTGTGCGCCAACGGAGGCAGCTTCTCCGGTTGCGTGGAGATGCGCGTCCGCGAGGCGTCCGACTGCGGCAGATGTCGAGGAGAGGCCGGTGCCAAGGCTGACCGTGCGCTAGGGCGCTGCTGCGCGGGCTTCCGCTCAGGCGAACAGCCGTGGCACCGCGTGGGGCGGGCGACTGCTCCGACGAGCTCGGCAGCAC